CACCAGGTTCAACACATTATGGTTATTATATAATATCTTATGAATTTGTTTACGTGGGTAATCGACATGGTAAAAAAATATGTTTTCAAGTTTAATAAAATTAATACAATAATGAATAAAAATATTTGCATGAAATAATTTCTTCAAAATTGAGTTAAAAAAAAATTTAAAAAAAAACTTAATTTTTTTTAGATATTTAGAAGATTATTAGATAAAGTGTAAAAAAAGTAAATGTCATGATTTTTAATTTTTTTTATCTAAATCTATAATATATAGAATAATATATAGAAATTTAGAATATATAGAATGTATATTTAACTATATATATACTAAATTTAGTATATATATAGTATATATATACTAAATTTCATCAAATTGACTAATATTGCTATGAGCTATATAATTAAAAGTGAAAATTACAATTTTTTACGACTTTTGATCTATAATTATAATGTAATGTAAAAAAATATTATTTATTCATTATTCATGAAATAATTCCATATAACTTTTTATTGATAAAAAAAAATTTATTATATTCAATAAAAAAATTTCTTCTACATATATTTGGACTTATTTATGCTCAATTGGCAACATATAAGTAACGTTATTGTCGCAGTTTGATTAGACTATGCTCACTGTGATTTTTTTCTTAATTTGTAATAAAAATTTTTACAAAGGAAAATGTTTGAAATTATCAAAAATCTTCAATTTCAACAAATATTATCATATTTTTGGAATACTTTGTATAATTATATTTTTATAGAAGTTACAGAAATGAGATCTAAAAAATTTATTTTGTTATTTTTCTAAATGCATACATTGATATCATTTTATAATAAATACAACTTACACAACATTGTTATACAATATAAAATATCAAATAATTATCCAAGAAATGACAACAAATATTGCTCTTAAATCTATACAATTATAATTTTATCATATCATACATATATAGATTAAGTACAATTTGAAATAGCAAATCAATATATCAATAATACACATTAATTAAGTGCTTTAAATTAATGAAAAATGTCTAAAATAAAAAAAAATCAATTAACATTAATTCAAGATTATATTAAATGGAATAGAAAATAATAGTTTTATAAATGATAAAAAATCTGTATAAATGTGAAAAAGATATGTATGAATGTGAAAAAGAATTGTTGAGAATCCAATAGAAATTGAAGATTGCTATTGAAATAAATTTAAATATATTCCAATTACATTATATGATATTGAGCGATCATTTTCTGCAAATTAATTTTAAGTAATAAGTGTTAACAATTATTTGCAACTAATGTGAAAAAAATACTTGTAATTTATTGTAATATAAATTATAATCATATAATATATATAATTATATAATCATATTTAGAAATAAAGTTATTATTATTTCAGTATATTTTAAAAACATAAATATTTGTAATTTATCTAAGTACCTTACATATAGATTACGAATATTTATGCTTTTAAAATATGCTGACTATGAGTATTTATATATTATGACTATAAAAGGCATATTTTAAATTTTCATTGTATAGATAATATATAATAGATATAGATTCAGATAAAAAAAATCGTGATTTTTTTTCTTCACAATTTCAATTAATAGTAATTTTTAAAAAAAATTTTTTATATATTATCTAATTCTTTTACATATACATTACAATACATTATTATTTACAATACATTCTTAACTAATTCTTCTAACATTTCAAAAAATTTAAATCATTTAGTTTAATTTTTAAAATTCCCAATTTTTAAAATTCATTTTTCATTAAAAAATATGCAAATATTTGTATTCATTACTATAATAAATAATGAATTACTATTTATAATATTTTAATTTAATGTTTTGTTACAGTACGTAATACTCTAGTTGTGTTTGCTTTGTTCTCTACACTTAGCGGAATTGCAGTACTTGCAACATCCTTAATGTTAATAGCTGCTTTACGAAAAGAATATGAAAGGAAAATGGTACCATGGCTTTATAGTTTTGCAGCTTTTACTGTTTTTAGATTGTTTGCTTTTATATTTTATAGTGTAGTAAATGATATGATATTTGCTTATAATATTACAATGTGTATTTTATGGATAATATTCATTTGCTTTTCTATTTACGGATGGTTAATTGTTTATTCTTTATATGTGGAATTATGTGATCTCACAAGATTAGAAGATTTGGCTCATTTGAGAGTAAGTTTTTTTTATTTAATGTTGAAATTTTTTTATTTAAATTTTATCTTTTTATTTTCTTCTTTTGATATCTAAAATTATCTTTATTTTTTATTTTTTATTGTATATAATTGACAATTTTTATTTTAGATCGGTACTATGCAATCATTAAATGCATCTACTACACATTCTATCGCAGGTTCTCGTCCAACAACACCACATAGTGCAGTATCGATACTGCCTGCGAATTAACAAAAACAATTAAATAATCTTTAAATCAATCTTATCAAATTTCATTATCATTTTTGTTGTTTGTCGTTTTCATTCTCATTCTTTTCAAACTTATCATGTTATTAATATAAATAGAAAAAAATTAACTGAATATTAATATATTTTATATATATATATTTTATATATATATAAATATATTGAATATCAGATGAGATGACCATAACATAAGAAAAATTGATATATATTATGTATAAAGATTATATACTTTTGTAACAGTGTATATACATATAAAATATTAATATATTCGTGAGACACTTTTGAAAAATCGATTCTAGAAATCGAAAAAAATATAAAAATTGCAAATATATATAAAAATGCTAATCGATGCTAATTTATTAACTTATTAATTTATATAATTATTATATAAATATTATTATATAAATATTTTAAATAAAATAAATATTTTAAAGTAAAAAAATGTACAAATATAATATATGAAATATATGAAAAATAGATAGTTTTGTTTTCTCCTTTGTCTCGTGATATTACAATCTTGTTCTTCGCTTTTATACAATAATTTATAACTTATTAAATAACTCTCAATAAATATTTTTGTTTATTTTTGTTTTATTTACTTAATTTATTTGATTAACTTTATTTGATTTCCAGAAATATTTCACGAATATATTAATATTTTAAATAAGTACATTTTTCCGTCCATTTATCTTAAGATTCCGTTTAAAATTATAATGAATAATAAATTTTTAAGTATAGAAATTCACAAAAGTTTACAATATTTATATGATGCGAAATTTATATTAATAAAATTAATAATAAGAATCCATAATTTTAAAATTCTTGTTGTTAAGACGTTTTTATTATATTTAATTCTTGTTATAATTATCTCTTTTCAATAAAAAAATGAAAAACATAATAAATAATAAATGTTAATATTAATTTTGGTTTTTAATTATAATTATTATACATAGAGAATTTATTTCGAGGCTTAAAAAATATTTAAACTTAAAAAAAAAAACAAATGATTTTAATAAATTTTACATCTAATATATTCATAGAAAATACAGAAAATCTTTGGAAAATCAATTGTAAAGACATAATAACAAATTAAATACAAAAGTTATATAAAAATATCGTTGAAACTTATTTATTATTTATTATTATTTATTTATTAAATATAAGCAATTAAAGTTTGTAAGAAGTAAGGAGGGACAACTTTATATCCATCAGTTGTTTTACTTTATTTAATGCAAATTTAAATTGATTTCATAATCAATATAATTAAAGATAAATGTTATATTTTCATAAGTTTAGAGAAGAGTAAATTGAAGCTTTATGTTTATAGATGTGATTATATATAGATATATAGATATAGAAGTATATTTCTTTTGAGTGATATGATTCTATTCAATACATATATATTCTATTCAAAACATATATAATATTATAATTAATATTTTAATTTTATTATATTATTAATATTTAAGAGATTGTAGAAGGAATAAAGTAATAGAAAAATAAATAAAGAAGAAAAAAGAAAATAAAAAAGAAAAATAATGATACAAAAAAAAAACCGAAATTGATATATAGAATCTCAAAAATATTGAAATATCCGTAAAGTGAAAATTCCCGAGATAATTTTTGTGCAATATTTTTTTTCATAAAAATTTTCATTACTGCTGTATTTAATATTTAAATGGTTATAGAATGAATAAATTTGTTAATAAAATGTTACAAAAAAATTGAAATTGAATTATAAATACTTATAATTTAAAATAAATAAGTTTAATTAATATATTTATATACCAACTTTTATGTTTGCTATCAATTTTTCAAAAATATACTTCCGCGAATATATAAATATACTTTATTTATATGCAAATATAAATTTCAAAAATTGAATGCAAGAATTGTTAATTGTGTTTAATGAATAACAATGAAAAAATAAATCGAATTAATTTGATTTCTAAAAAAAAGAAATTATATATTTTTTATTAAAAATGAATGTATAAAAATATAAGTTTTGAATATTTATAAAATATGAATGAAATTTTTTGATCAAATAAAAAATCAACCTATAAGAATATTCATAAAAGAAAAAAAAAGAAAAAATGAAAGGAAGCAAAATATATTTATTTAGTTGTCTTTATAAATTTTTCTAATGCTCATACATTTTTTTAGATCGAAGATTTTAAATTAATAAAAAAATTATTACTTATTATTTTAAAATCTTAAGCTGATTAGTTATTCTTAAAAATTAAATAAAAAGTACAAAAAATGCAAATAAAATAATAAAATTGTTTAAATAACAAATTAATATTGAAATTGATTATTTTTTTCTATATTTTTTTCTCTTCCTTTCTTTATTTTTTATTTTTTCGAAATTACTTAAGTTATTAAAATTATCCAAAAAGATAGCCTTACTTTCGTTTATAAATGTGAGTTCAAACAAACTTAATTTTAATTTATACTTGATGAATGAAAAAAGCATAGGTATTATAACTGATGTAATAATATATATGCACGAATGTACAAATATATTACCATGTACGTAATTGAGTGCACTCGTTATATATGTATAAAACACATTTAATATGCAAATTAACATATATCACTTCAAAAGAAAAAAGATATAATTAACCAACATATTCGCAACAAGCCATATGCAAGAATTAATTTTAACACTTGATGACTCCAGTATAATCTGTAAAGCAAACATTCAACATGGACTATTATGAATTATTAATTATTAGAATTAAAAAAAAGAATTAAACTGGTTATTAATTAAACTTACCTTTGCCATTTAATGCGCGCTTGTGGAAGAGTGTCTAAAGAATCTTTTATGAGATAAATACGAAGTCCTCGCACATATGTTCGAAAATAATGATCCCAATCAACTTGAGTAATATCACAAGCAAAATTTTCGCGATCTTCCTCTGACAGTTTATTTATTAACACTTTAACATTATCATTTGCAAATTTCCATTCTTTGACAGTAAAATAATTAATTACACTCATAAATTTATGTATCTTTTTATAAACTTTTAACATCCTTTCAAAAAATAAAATTAAAAAAGAGGATAAAAGAATAAAAAAAAATGAAATAAAGAAAAAAATAAAAATTTATTACCTAGGTTGTTTTCCTAAACAAATCATGACTGTGTCGACTAAAAGTGCTGGCAATAAATGTAATAAATAGACATAGATCAAATGAATAATCTTGTATTTGTTATTTCGAAAGCTATAATACCACATAGCTCTACTGGTGGGAAATTCAAGTCCATATTTTTCAGATAAAATTTTCAATTCATCATATGTTATAGGATTATCGTTTGAAACATAATTATAAACCGGTATATCGTTTTTTTCTTTTTTATTAATTGTAGATCTGTAAATGTAAATAAAGATTTAAATAAATAAATCACGTATGAGAAAAAATAAAAAAAAATATTATGAAGATTGAAATTAAATATTTAAAAAATAAATATATATATAAAAAATAATAATAAATTAAATAATAAATAAATAAATATATAAAAAAATTTAAATTTCGCATCTCACTTTCGACGATCCGCTACATCCCAAGCGGAAACTATTAAAGCATTTACTGCTAAATCTCCAGGAACGACGTTGGCCTGTATAGATCCATCGCAATGAATCGATCGTAAAATTCCGGTACCAGCTCCAGCTGCAACACCCGTTGGTCCGTATAGATTATCAATCCATCCTTGTACTGGTTCTCGATATGTTGATATTACTGAAAATTCAATACAAAAATCAATTATATTTTATTTATATTTGACCAACATTCTCTTTCTTCTTTCTCTGTACTTTCTTTATACTTCGTAATAGATATGTTGCTATTTTCATATCAATTTTTTTCCCATTAATTTTATTATATCTTATTTCTATTTAAAATAAATACAATATGAATCAAAAAGTATTATATTATACTCATTATTATGTACAAAATATTATATTTATAAGACACTTTCAGAAGTATACACTCTATATAAGTCATTCATTTCTATAAATTTAATTTTAAAAGCCAAAACAAATGCAAGAATTGGTATACAAAAATGTCAGTTGAAATTCATTAATTTTAAGTTATAAACAATTAAAGTTTGCCTTAGATAAAACTAGACAGAGAAAAATTGTTTTGTTTCTATTACACATTGTATTCTATTATATTCTGTTTCCATTTTACTTCATCTAATGTAAACTTAATTGTTTGTAATTTAAAATAAATAAATTTTAACCGACACTTTTGTATTTATTTCTCTAAAATTAATTCTTTAAAGATATTCCATGAATATATTTATATGTTATACATGCAAAATATCTAAATATAGTAAATTTCATCTAAATATATTAAATAAAAAAAATCTATGAATTTTTTAAGATAGAAATTATTTAAATTTATAAAAAAATATTATTGTGCAATAATAGTTTTTCTGCAGATTGACGCATATGTTTATAAATAATGCTCTTCATTCATAAAAATATTAATTGTGTAAAATTATATATTCTTTGAAATTATTAGACTCTTATTTGAAACTTATTCTTTTATATTATTTATAGTTTGAATACATATTTGAATAAATCGATTTAAATAAGACATATATATATACAGAATATGAGAAACAGAGAGTTAAGAAATTTCATATGATTGAAACAAATTAAAAAGACGATTGGAATGATTAGAAAATGATCATTTAAAATCATTGATTTATAATTTAGAATTAAAATCATTTAAAATCATTATATTTATAAATTACTAACCAATAGCAGGTCGAAATATTCCAATAGGCAATTCGCCGGCCTCTTTCACAATAACACTTTCTGCTATTGCTTTTGTGAAAGTGTACGTATTCGGCCATGCACCTAATAATCTGTAGCAGTTGAATTATTATTTATTAGCATAAATAAGTACAATGAAAAAAAAATGAACAAATTGAATATAATTTTGATTATTTCGAATCTAATTATTATAATTGTTTGAAAAAATTTCTTACTTCGGAGTAATATCTTCAATCAATTTATCATCCATGTAATCAATGATTGTTACTAATTTGTGTGCATCCATTGGTGCTTCATATATTTTTTCTTCGATAAGATCGTGCGGGCAATTGGCATATGCAGTCGATACATGAACAAATGACTGAAAATTTGTTAAATTGTTTTACAATATAATTATAATTCTAATAGATTATACATATAGACATTTATTTGTACACATATGTATACTTTATGACTTACCTTTAAATATGATATTTCCTTGCAAAGATCTATCATTTCTTTGGGACTACGAACATTAATAGGTACAGCGAGTTTCATTTTCTCGTCAAATCTGACCGTAGCCGCAACGTGAAAAACGATAGAAACTTCTCGCGTTATCATTTGTCTATCCGCGGAAGACAACCCGAGACCAGGTTGAACACAATCTCCGGCTATCGCAACTATTTGATACCGAAATTTTGGATGTTTTTCTTTTAATTTATTGAATAGCTAAGCAAAAAATTGATCATTAATAATAGTTTTTATATATACGATTGATCTTTATAATTTTAAATTATGAGTTTATTAGTTTATTTATAATTTTACACATAGATATATTATATTATACATATGATCATTATAAATATATGTATGTACGTATATAGATATATGTATGTATGTATGCATGGATCATATCTATGAAAGAATTAACTATGAAAAAAATTGCAAAGTTAGAAGAGATATGAGATATTAGAAAAATAATGTGGTATATATATATAATTGATAAATAAATAAAGAAGAAAAAGAAGAGATCGTAATTAATCTTGTCGAAGGAAAGTGAATGTCACAATTGATACGTAGTGTCGGAAAGAAAAATAGTGCTTGGAAAAATATTTAGTCGAAGAATTTAATAAAAAGATAAAAGAATTTAAACAAGCTCTATAAAAATGTAAAGAGATGGAGGTGATAAAAGATAAAAAATGTAGAAAAATAAAAAAAAAGAAAAAAGAAATAGAAAAGAAAAATAATAGAAATCCTTACCGGATCATCAAAAAGTTCTTCGATACGTTGATGCATATCTTTGCCTTTCTTCGGACGTACTAACATATAGATAAATGAAATTCCAGGACATTCTCGGAGGAGCTTTTCTATCAGAATTTTGCCCATAAATCCGGTGCCACCAGTAACGAAAATGCTTTGTCCATTATAGAAGTTTTGAATAGGACTGAGTGAAGATTTTTCCAAAATCAAATCACAACGATCACTTTCAGTCAAACATTCCATTGGGCTATCGTTTATTTTACAACTTTTATCTGATACTATTGCTTCTTGACCACACGGTTCTACCAAAACTTCCACCATCGCGTTCGTCGCGTGACGTTTCGAAATAAATGATTAAACAACTAAAGAAAACAAATCAGAAAAGAGAAAAAAATTAATACGCGTAATATTACACGTCGACTGTAAGATGCTAATCTGAAATCTACTATTCGTTCCACACCGCAGTTCGAACTCTCGCGGTTGCTAGTGCGAGAGAAACCGCACATATCGTCATGGAGTGAAAGTTGATCATGAACTTGGTCGCAGCGTCTTTTACTATGTTCCAAATTCAAATCGAAAGTCATACTGCCAATCGGCAGTTTGTCTTTATCATTTCACTATAAAAGACCGTTCCAAATTCGATTCTACTTATAATTCTAATGTAATATAATATATTATACATTATATATATTTCATAATTTTATAATATAAATGTTTAAGATAATCTTTAAAAATGCTATTATGCAAAATTAGTTACATTAGAAACATTTTCTTTTAGATCGTTAATATATTTCTTTTTATTTTCTTGATAAATGTTAAAATAATAATTAATTTCAAAAATATTAAAAAAACTGTATAAAATTCTGTTGAATTATTATCTATTGAAATATACAATAGATCACAAAATTCATTCATTTTCTAGAAACTCCGTTTTCAGCATTTAGAAATTTTTGACATATATTTTCATATTTGTTGACCAATTTTTGACATTTGATTATGGTAATCTCTTTTTTATAAAGATGGAAATCAAATAATATAAAAATGAAAATGTTATTTGAAAGAAGATATTATATTTGATTCTAAATTTCCTCATAAAATTAGAATTTTAAATTTTGATTATAATTAACTAATAATTTATGAAATAATATGTATTTTTTCTCTATCATTCTTGAAGTCAATGGAGATGTTTCGCTATTATGGAAAAGATTATATTTAAAGAAATACTAGTCAGTAATGATATTCATAAATATATATATAAATTATATTAATATGTTTTGTAAGTAAACTTTAGAAAATTATTATAGATATTTTTTAGAAGATTATTATAGATTATTATAGAATATTCTGTTTGATATAAAGAATTTCAAAGCTCAAAATTTTATTGCTATATGAAAAGTTAAATTAATCTGCGTCATAGTTTTATTGAATTCCTATATAATCATCTCATAATCAACCGTTATGTCGAATCGTCACAATAAATATCCTACTTATCAAACTTGTTCGTAAGTTTTCGATGAATATATCTATATATATTTCAATAAATAATAAACAAATACATTTAAACGATTCCTTCCTGCTCGACACGAATTTTAACTGGTAGTAAATTCATGGTGAATGTCTGACGAAGAAAGTCATGATTGAAATACAACTCTGACATAAATTAAAGTTGATACCGATTCAGGAAAATAACTTTTTATATTGATATACCATATACATCTTACATAGAATTTCACCCTTCTGCTTCATGACATGTTTTTCCATTCCTTTTTCTTTAATATTATTTTTACGATATATGATTATACGAAATGAAGATCATATTACTTGTATTGTATTTTAGAATCATTAAAAAAAAAAGAACTGAGCTAAATACTGAATTGTTTTAATTTTATTCTTCATTCAATATTTTGTTTTACATATGTACTTTATATGAAATATTTCTATCATTAAACATCGATTTCTATCGATTATAGATTATTAATTAAATGTTGTGTCTGTATAAATAAAATAAATTTTACAATTACTGATTTGAATATACTTTTTTTTATTCAATTCTATATAGTTTATATTATAATAAAATCAGGAATTAGTAAATTTATACTAATGATATTATTTCATAATGATAAATTATCGCACAATTTCACTGACCTTATCTGTAATATTTCACGAAATCAATGTCCACACTTTCAAGATATTAAAAAGACAGCACCAAAAAATTAAAAAAATAAAAAAGCATAAAAACGGATAAAAAACGAACAATCAAACGATCGAATGAAGAAAAGAACAAACAAACACTAGATATACCTTAAAAACTTTCTCCTCACGTGAACCTACCGATTTTTCTCTTATGCCACCTCGAGTATTTTGCAAGCGATATACCTCAGAATTGTCACTCTTGGCATCGTCAGTCTTGCTTTTCTTTTCTTCTCCTTCTACTCTGTTTCATCAATTGCCCCTTCTCTTTACCCTTTAACTCTCCTTCCCCTTCCTTAATCGTTCAATCACACCCGGTCCCAGTCAACTACCTCTTTTCTCTTATGTTATTTTACCTTTCATTTCTCTTTGATATTTTTTGTTCCTTTCATTTTATTTGAGTTATTTTTGCATTTCAATTCAGATTTTTTTAATCCCTTAATATCATATATGCATAAGTGAAATTTCATTTTTGATCATTTTTTTATAAAAAAAATATTTTGAAAATAAAAAAAATTTCTCCTAAAAAATCTTATTAAAAAAAAGAAAAGAAGAAAAGCTTATATATACCTAAATTAAATGATTTCAAAATTATTATATAATATATTAGTGTTTCATAAATTATAATCAATCATTAAATCGTAAGTCAATATTTTTTTCACTTATCATAAAAATTAATTTTTTTTATTTGTTTAAATTATTTATTTTAATTTTTATATTTTTATATGCAATTTTTTATATAATTTTCATTTTACATAAAAATGTACACTTTTTTTACACAAAAATTAATTACTATTATTTTATATAAAAATATCAAATTTCGAGCTTTTAAAAATCTTATTTTTTCTAATATATATATATATATATATATATATAGAGAGAGAGAGAGAGAGAGAGAGAGAGAAAGAGAGAGAAAGAGAGAGAGAGAACATATTTATTTTAATTATATATAATAATTTTTGTTATTTATAGAAAATTCTGTTACTTTATGTAGTATTTTCTAAACATATCTTTTTTAAAAGATATTTTATAATAAATATTGATTAAGAAAATATACTTTTACTACGAGTATATATCTCGTTAACATATACATGAAATATTATAATAATCCTCTTAAAATAATGTTAACATATAAACAATTTTTCAAATTGATATTAATAATTAATAATATATTAATAATATAATATTAATTATTAATAATATATTATAATAATATATTATTGTTATGGAAATTTGTATTTTACAATAAAAGATTTTGCAATAATTTTTCTTAATATTTATTTCTACCGAAGAAAATAAATTTCTATTTTTTTCATTTTAACTCAAATTTCGATTATTATTAAAAAGACTTTTTAATTATTTTATTTATTGTTTTAAAAACAAATCGAATGATAAAAATATTATTTTTATTAATAATATTATTATATTAATAATTAATATTTCAAAATTTTTAAAAAATAGAAATATATAACGTAAAGAAAAATTTTAAAAACTGCAATGTGAATAATAGAGAAGATTAATCAGTTATTCTATTTGTCGCATTTTAATCATAAAATTCATCAAATTTATTAAAAAATGTCAGAAAGTTTATTAATATTATAAATAATTGTTTAACAAAAAATCAAAATGAAAATATTAATAAAAACATTACACTTATTATTGAAAAATTAAAATTAAGAAATAAAAAGAAATAGGAGAAAAAAAGAAGAGAAAGCACAAGAGAAACAAGAGACTTAATATAGAAATAATATAGAAATAATAAAGAAGATTTCGATTATCTGAAATATTCATTTCAGCATTTGAATATGAAAATTCGTATATATTCATGTGTTTCAAAATAATTTAATAATAATTACTAAATTCACAATTAGATATCTTAAGTACGAAACATTCATTAATGAACAATAATTTCTGCAAATATCGCAAAATTTATATATATATATATGACGTGTCTTAACAAATAAATAACAAATATCTTGTTATATAAATTTATTATAATATCATAAATCTTTTTTTAAATATATTGAACACATATCTTTCATTATACATATAATTTATTATAATATATTTTTTATCTAACGTTTAAAATAAAAAGAAACGATTAAAAATGAATCGCGCCATTATTCGCTTACGCGTACGTTTTTTCTGGTATGTGACGTACTCTGTGACAATCTGCTTATTCAGCTGAAGAAAGAATAATAACCTCCTACTAGAAATATTGCTTCGTAATATTAATAATTAATTATTAATAATTACACAGATTAATTATTATATATATTTGTATATTGTATATTATGTATAACATTACGTATAATACATAATAATATATTTTTCTATAAGAATGCATAAAATAAAAATCCGAATAAAATATATGTATTTAGGAAAAATGGAAATAATTTGTATAATAAATGAGAAAAGTTCGTTTGAAAATAGTTAATGAAAAGAAAGATCCAATGACGAATCAAGATCCAATGCGAATCATGATATTGTGCGTTTGAAAAGAACTATATTTCGTAATAGATAAACAAATTAACATGATTAACGTGATGCAAACTAACATGTTCTGTAAGCATATAATTCGTCATGCAAATTCGAATGTAGCTGTGAAAAAACACAGCTTTTTGTCACGATTATCAGGCTATTCTTGTGGAATTATGTGTATTTGCACACGAAGATGAATACTTTTTAAACGTTATATGAGCATACTAGAAGCTACTTTTTTATAATCAGATACGTCAATATAATTTGCATATTTACGATACATTTTATATTTTATATTTGCAAAACATATAATATTATTAACACATAATAAATGTCACAGATTCATGCAATTTTTCTTAATTAATAATGTATAAAAACAAAAAATTATAAATATTAATTACTACAATATTTAATATCTTTTTAAGAATTATACATATATGGACGGAACATGGGGCACTGGCATTAAAACGATTTTTCATAGAAGACATTTGCAAGGTCACTTAAAGCAAGGCACACAAACGTCCGTTATGTAAGATTATTCTTATAAGCTTAAGATTTCAGGTATGTGCGTTTCTCATAATTTATACATTTATGTATGACGGATATATACATAGAAAGGAAAGAAAAAAAAAGATAGAGCATGCTTGCACGTAGATGTATATATGATATATACGCGACTGCATATATATATATTTTCAAAGAAATAATACCAAAAGAGATGGTAAAAAAGAATGGAAGAAGAATGTGTCTGTATTTGCATGTATGTAATGTACACGGAACAAATAAAACGTCAGCATGAAATTGATATTTGCTGAATATAGATAATCGTAAAAATGTGCGTAAAAATAAAAAAAAAAAAATAATAAAAAAGAGAAGAAAAAAAGTTTAATATTTATCAAAAATGGAAAGTCTAGAAATTTAACAGATTCATCTCTAATTATAAATATTAAGCATCGAAAAATGATTTTCATTTTTTTTCGTTAGGCACGTATAATTGTTAATGAAATCATTGACGTTATCACGCTAATATGTAACGTGCTGATGGTAGATAATAGTCATCTTCAATAGTATTTATCTGTCGTTCTACGAATGGCAAACTTCCATTTAGAGAGTAGGAATATTCAGAATTCCAATCACGATGAAAAATATTTTCCAATTGTTGCCTAAGATTATCCAAAGTTTGATCGCCGATTGTCTCAAATACTGTACCAATACCTAACACATCAATAACAAATTTCATATATTTTATTATTGATTAAGTAATAAAATAGAATAAGAGAAAAGAAAAAACAAAAAAAATAATTGCCTGCAGTGTTTATGAAATAATCGCCAGACCAATTGCTTGTACCTATATATGCAGTTGCATCAGTCACCATATACTTATTATGATTTACTCTTGAAAATGGTATTTTATCAAAATCAGGATTAGTAGGAACTACAAATCTTTTCTGAAAAATAAAATCAATATAAATGCAATATCATGTAGAAGATATAAGTATAATTGTATTATAGAAATATACGAAACGTAAACATATGCAAAAACTGACCACTTCGATTTTCACACCTGTGTAACTATCTGTCAATTCCACAAGAGACTTCAAAAAAGGAAATTCTAATTTACTTGAATATTTCCATGATGATATTAACAATCGTATATGTATTTTACGTTCGATTGCTGCAGTTCTCAATGCATCGTCTATTATCGGCCAATACCTGTATCATATAGATAAAGATTAGATAAAGAGTCAAATTTGTAATATAGAAATACTTATGTGCAAAATTAAAGAAACATTTTCGTGCAAAAATTGTTGATATTTAAACTATTATAATTTTATAAAAATAAATCATTTTAAATTTATATGAATTAAATTTTTTTAAAAATTAAATTCATTTTTTGTTACATAAATGCAGTGCGAAGTTTTTTTTCTAAAATTTTAAAAATTTTACAGAGTTCAAAAATTTTTTTTGCGATTTGTTTAAATATTATTTCCTATAGAAAAATCTTTCCTTTACAACGAATTCTAAAAACTGAATTTACGATTTTTTTTATTGTTTTATCGCACTTTAAATGAAAAATAGATTACCGACCATATTAAGTATAATTACTTAAACAAATATTCAAATTAAACACATAATTAAGTTTAATAATTTATATCTTTGTTAGTTATGAACTCAAACTTGTTTCTTTTGATAGATTTTAAATATATATATATTATAATATAATATATATAAATATATTAATATATTAATATATAACATAAATATATTAATATATAATATAAATATATTATATATTAATATATATATACAACTTATTTAATTAATTTAATTATTTAACTAAGTTATTAATACATATTATTATAACATATATGATTAACATATATTATTAATACATATATGATTATAAATTTGAAATAAAAAAAATAAAATGAAATCGCAATTTGTAATTTCATTATAAATATGTGGACTTAATATTTTACACGTTTTATTATAAATTTTTAAATAAATTTTTAATGAATGATATATAAAAATAATATTTATAAAAAAAGAATATTTATATAATCATTTTTGATTTTGCTCTCGTTTAAAATTTAGTTTTAGTTTAAAATAA